AAAAAATGAAAGTGTATGAAATTTTAAAAAAAATGTAAATTATAAAAATATATGGAAAATGTAAATAACAAAAATAAATGAAAATTATAAATGACAATAAAAGCAGTAGATGAAGAGGTAAATAAATGAAATTATAAATGATAAAAATAATTGAGGAATGAATATGATAGATGAAGAAGTAATATTAGCTTAACATGAAAAACCAAAGTCTAAATACTTAAAAATTCCTTTAAAAAAAATGAAAAGTTAATGTCTAAATATTCAAAAAATTAAAGAGTTAAATTTATTATTTCCCCAGTGCTCCCTATGTACATTTTTCTGATCATTTCCTTTTCAATTATCAACGGTCACTATAAGTAAGTTCAAAGATTTTCCAATTCTTCACAACAACATTTAAATGTTTTGTTTGAAAATTTTTTTTAATCAAAAAATTTGTTATAGGATATAAGTACTTTGATTTTTTTTTTTTTTCCTCAATATCAACAAGTATTTGATTCTAATCCATTTTAGCTCTTAAAATTTAGGAATAAAATTATTTTTAAACTATGTTATTTCAATCAAATACTATAAGAAAAGACTAAAAGCAATTTAATTCATATTTTTAAAAGTATGTATTTTAGTTTTTTTTATAAGAGTTGATTGAGATGACATTATTTTAGAATAATTTTTCTCTTAATTTTTAGGAGTTAAAGCACATATGTATTTTTCTAGTGTTGTTATTGATGTTATTATTATTATTATGTAATCTTTCTCTTAATTCTATTATTTTTTTCAGCTCTAATACTAAATCCTAATTAACATTTTCTACACTTAAGTATCTTAAAAATCTTAATATTATATTTTCTAACCTCCATCTTCTTCCTTTAGTTTTTAAAATAAATTTTACCAACATTAAATGTCTTAAAAATCAAAACCTTTCTCCCTTCCTGCCTCTCGTATTTTCTACCTTCTAACCTATTTCAACTTCTCCATTTAATATAAATTTTATAAACATTACTCTACATTAAGGATATGTTTGATATAATGATTAAAATTTAACAGATAATGGATAGCACGCAGTAAATAGAATATAGTAGTAATGGGTAGCAAAAATAATTGTTAGTGGATAGTGGGTGATGAATAGTGAAAAGCAAATAACGGATAATAAATAATATATTTGATTAATATAAGTATTTAATTATACAATA